TCCTTGGATGAAGACTTAAGCCCTAAGGAATCATTTTTAGCCTTTGAGCTTTTGGGCTTGAATTCTTGGGCATTTTGCTTGTTTTCTTCATTAATTCAATGGTTTTTTTACTGAAAGAAGAGATCTTGAGCTATATTCTTTATTAACCTTCAAATTCTTCCCATAATTACTTCTTCAGCACAGAAATTCAGATCGTGCTTTATTATACGAATATTTGTCCATGATATGTTCCGATTTCAGAGATGTCATAAATACAAAAGTTATAGATCTCGTTCTTAGCTTTCTAGAGAATGTTTATTCAGCCAATTCCGAGTTGATACGAGAGAGATATGGACAAAATACCAAACATTACCAAGATATCCAGATTGCATGATTTGTTTCTTTTTTCACAAAACATTTTTCATTTGTTCCTTGATGGTATATTTATTTTTCTTGGGATTTTGGGCTTGGACTTTTGGATATTTTCTTGACATTTTGGGCTTCAATGCTTCATTAAATATTAAAAGAAATTATTTGGCTTCATGGGCTTCATTCTTTTGCTTTTGGCTTTGGGCTTTGGTGTTAAATCAAGGGGCCTTTGTTGAGTGATNTATATATATATATATATATATATATATATATATATATATACTTTTTTCTTTGAATTAATTTCCTAACATAAAATCAAGTAATTTTATTTTGGAAAATATTTATAACAAGTTAACAATTAATTATGAATAAGACAATTAACTATAATTATTTAAGCAATAATTAACAACTAATTACTACAATTATAAATTTGGATAAACAATAAAAATTTATTATTTTTTGATGAACAGTAAAAATTTTAATGAACAAGAAAAACTTATTTTAATGAACAGTCATTCTGTTTTTTAATGAACAGAAACTGTTTTTTCGGGTAAACAATAACTTTATTTCAAATTAAAAACAAGAGCTATAAACTATTAATCTTCTAGATTGTTTGATATAAATCAAATATTATTAAGTTATAGCATGCAAATTAACAAATAAATCTGAATGTAAAACAGAATCAGAAAGTCTGGCTTGATTGAGAGCAGTCGTGTAAACATTACCTTAGAAGATTAAGGACATGCCTATCGTCCTAGCGCCGATGATTCTCTCTCCACTAACTACAAAACCCCCCGTAATCGACCGACTTCTAAACTCGAAAGAGAGTACAGAGCTTCTGCTCAGATGAAGAAGGTTGCCCGAAAATATCACCAAAATATAGACGAAAATCGCTTTTGAAATCAGAGGAGAGACGAGAAAGAAGAGACTTGTTGTGTGTATTTCAAGAATGAGAACGGCTTCTTATATAGGGTTTTAGAGAGCCATTATAAAATCCAGCAATAAGTTCGGTAAAATTCACCATAATATTAACCGTTACGCAATAAACCCGCAGTAGTTACACACGTGAAAAATGTGCAAAATAAAGCCAGAGAAAACAAAAACATGCGTGTGCGGCGTGGCGTGGCACGCGTCGTGGCGTGGCGTGCGCGCGTGTGTGTGTGTTAGGCAAAGCCCAAATAATACAAAATCCAAAACACTATTCAAAGCCCAATAAGAGGAGAACCATTATAAACCACAAACTATTTATTTCATTTTCCAATGTGGGACTATTCACAAAGGCAAAATTTCCTTTTTTTAATAACATAGCTAACAAATACAACAAACAATAGGAGATCAAGATATAAATAATCCTAAATAAACTCCCCTAAAAATACACATGTTGTCAAGTAAGTCCCCAAATCTTTTATATTTTAAATAATTTATTCAAGTTTATAGATTCTAATAAATAATTCCCTCCGAGGTAAAAAGATGTGAATTACAATAATTAACTAAATTGATTTTGGTAGTTTTTCTCGTACATTCTAAATAGCTACGTCTGATATCTGCAATGAATTGTATTAAAGACATTTCAACAAATAGCCAGTAGAGAAGGAGGCAAAGAGAAATGTTTTGAGAGAAATGTATATAAAATTTGAGGACAAAGTATGCAAGATTAATGGAATGTAGTTGACCTAATACTAATTTAATTGCTTTTAATATAAAAGGACTAATTTAAGAGAACTTATAGATTTTGGAAATTTATCTAAAACATAAGAGGTGTCATAGACAAGGTAATGTTGGCCTTTTGTTTTGATGATGTTTTAACAAACAATTTACGACTAATATTGTTTGTCTAGTGTTTGTGTTTTCTTATTCATTCTAGACAAACAATGAATCAGAGGTTGGATTGAATATCGGAGTGAAGCATTGCAATTAAAGACAAGATCCAAGTTCAAGCTTCATCCACATGTTTACCAAGACAAGCTCATTGAAGATCAAGATTGCTTTGGTAAATAGTTTAGATTTTGTATTATGTGTGTTTAATACTCTAAGCTCAATATGATATACACAATTTTTATTAGTTTCTATCTATATATATGTACACTTTTTGGTTTTAGGTTTTATACACAAACAACGTTTTTACAAACAAATATATTTATGTTTATATACATACATGTTTGTTTTTATATGGATAAATTTTAGTAATATAGATATGAAATAAATACACATTTATATGTTTCATATTTATCATTTTGTCAAATGCATATATTGTGCAAAACTTTATTTTTGCATAATATTGAATTTTTAGTTTGTAAACTTCATAACAATATTTTACATCTTTTATCAAGTCTATAAAAATATTTTATAATGTGTCAAAATATTGTTTAATTTAAATTATCAAAAACAAGTGTTTCACTACAAGAAATCCGGTATTTAACGACCAAAATTGGTAAAGGGACCAGTTGACCGTCATTAATGTGTATATAATAACGACGGGTTTTAAATCCTTCGTCGAGTGATTACAAATATTAAAAGAATGACGTGAGATGTGATAACGGATTTCAAGTCCCTTCATTAATTTGATCCTAATACCGTCGTTATTGGGTCTCTTTAAATATGAAGGGGATCTATTATCTTAATTGATGACACTCCTAACCATAATAGGACTGAAATTAGCCTAACAATTTGTTTTTGCATATACACACAACAGAGGGAACTCCCCGCCCCCAATTATTTTCGTGAAAATCAAAAGAAAAAACCAACGCCCCCCTAATTATTTTCGTGAAAATCAAAAGAAAAAACCAACGCAATCCACCCAAAACCTCGTTCTCTCTCTCTCTCATCAAAAAACCCCAATCGCCCGTGCACCTTCAATTCATCTCCCCCCCCACCACCAACCAACTCTGAACTCGCCGCTACCGTCGGAGGTCGCCGCCGTCGTTAGAGGTCTCTGTCGTTATCGAGCCTTACAGTTCGCCACCGTCGTCGACCCTGCAGTTTGCCGCCGAGTGCCCCTAAAAAATCGTAGTTCTTCCTCCCCAAATCAGACCTCGCTGCCTCTCCTGCTCCTCATTTTCGCTTGACGCCTGACTTGTAAGTCCTCTACCTCAAAACCCTAACCCTAATTGGGGTATTTTCAGATGTATTCTGCTTATGCATTTGATTCCAAAAGCCACCTTGTTTCTAAGCTCAGTTCAATGGTTCTCCTTATCCTCTCAGTTCGTCCTTGTGATTCTGCTATTTTACATCCGTTTGCTGCTGAAATTAGTAGTACATAAGATGCTTGATGAGACTTCGAAGGAGAATTGAAAGATATAGTTAGCAGGTGATAACATAGTTAAATAGAAATATTGCAGTCATCTTCATAGTTAAATAGAAGTAATCTGGGCATCATAAAAGGTTGATATTTGTGATATTTTCTTTGACTTTTATAGTTTGTGGATTGTTTAGAAGTTTCCATTGAATAAAGGGGTGACTTTTATAATGCAAGTGCTAAACGACCAGGATTTGTGCAATGTAATTATGCTTTTTTTTTCAAGTTTGAATAGTCTATTAGCTAGAATAATATATGTGATTTGCATGGTTTACTGTCTCCTATAAATTCATTTTTCCTTGAGTTTAATTAAGCAAGACTTGGGAAGGGCTCACATCCTTTTTTGATTGAATGGTTAAAAAAACTAGTTTATACAGAACAATTATCAGGTCCTAACCACCAAAATGGACGACGATATAAAAAGGTCTTCTAGTCAGTGGTTGCTTTAGGGGGAGAAGAAATTAGAAGCACTCTGTTTTAAAGTAGAAAGAAGTAAGAAAATTAACTCAGGAATGTAAATTCATTAGTTAAATCACCAATGAGGATTTGGTGCTTAAGTGACAAAATTATGAAACATTTCTCCCCCCTTTGCTTCGAGACTTGTTGCGTTATATACATAGAAATATCTCTTTAAGTTAATATGTTCATGAGTGACAGATTTAAGACTCTGCTGTCTAATAAATTAACTTTGTATGGATCTTTTCAACTGTATTTAAAAAGTTTGGTCTGTAAATTTACTCTCCATTTATAACCAGACCTCATAAAATTTTTGCATGCAAATTGTATTTGTTATTCACCTAATTACTATTTTAGCATTCTACTTTGTAAATCTCTTAGCTGTTTTCCCAATATCAAGAGGTTTATTCTTCTTAGAATTTGCATTTTTGTAGATAGTAAAATAGTCTGTGTTCATTACTTGACATAATTTTCACTTTGCAATTATCTTTAATTGGACAAGTTATCTGATGGTAATTAGCAATGAAGATATTTACTTCTTTGTGGTTGCAGTTTTGTTTCTGTTTTTTTCTTGACCGTAAATATCGATGTCAAAAATCTTTCTTGATATACGGTGGAAATATCTATATAAATATTATCAAATAAATATTGTTATAAAGCTTCTAAAATGCATAATTACATTAAATATATTGGTTATATAAAAATTTTAAAATTAAATCAACATATCATTACACTAAACTATGTTATTCAAATATTTCTATTAAGTTTAAACCACACAGGAAGCTAGCAAAAAAAGTTGTGAGCAAAAAGTACTTTCTTGTCGCATATTGCAGTCATCTTCATTAGATTAATTTCTTTTAGTTTGTTTTAGAACTTATAGTGTATCTTGAGCTTTGTGTAGGGCACCAGAAGACAATCGCATTGATAAGGAGCTGCTACCGAGGCTCAACAATGCAAAGGTAATTGATCATTTTGCATCTTCATGTGAATTTTGATTCTAATGGCTTATTCTGATGGAGGGTTGCTTGGCAGAATAAAAACAGTTTCGGGAGGAAGCCTAAGGACAAGAGAAAATGTAAGTGTGAACATAATTGTCTGTATTTATACATGTCTGTGATATTGTTTATATTTGCTGTGTTTAGGCACAAAATTATTTGACAAATTAATAACCTATGCTCATCCTTTATTTTTTGAAGCCATGAAGCTAGTATTATAAATTGCCATTCATTAGGGTGTCTCTAACTGGTTGTCAAGCAGTAAAACATGTTCAAGTTTTAATGATGATTTGTATGAATTTGTTCCACTTGAAATGTCACATCTGTGGTTCTAGGCAGAGTAACATGTGCTTGTTTCTTTGATGGATTTTGTGTTCTACTATAATACATTTTTTGGCACCAAAACCCTGATTCTCAAACATATATATTATATAATTTGTCTTAATTTCATATCCACTTCTCTCATCATATTCTATTAGTGCTCTTTTATTGATTATCATGTAATACCCTTGAAGCGATTACTTCTTTTAGCTGGAATCATTTTATTCCAATTGCTATTTGCTTGAGACCTAGAATGAGTCTTGTACTAAAAGTAAGAAAATTGGTATTCTTACTTCCTTTCCTCTAGATCGTCTTATGCTGACTCTGACTGTATTTCATCATCTTAGGTTTTAATTCCATTTTACCTTATTAATGATGCAGACAGCTTTCTAACTTTAATATATTTTGTAGGCTGGTAATATCTTAGTTGATACACATGGAGGAGTGAAGCTCGGAGATTTTGGTGTTTCCGCTTGCCTTTTTGATTCGGGTGATAGGCAGCGTACATGGAATACCTTAGTTGGAACTCCTTGCTGGTGCGTCCTTTGAAAATTTTTAGCATGGTTACATATTACTAGTTTTGCAGATAGTGACATCTGATTTTTTTAATCTTCTTTTTCTAGGATGGCACCTGAAGTGATGGAGCAACGATATGGTTATGATTTCAAGTAGGTTTTGTGACTTCTTTCGTTGTTTATCTTGTTTAGTTTAGTTCATTTTGTAGATCCCAGATCTCACAGAATATTTCGTAACAAACTGCAGGGTGGATATCTGGTCTTTTGGAATTACGACATTGGAGCTTGCTCATGGGCATGCTCCTTTTTCCTCTCGACCGCCTATAAAGGTATTATAGTAATCTGAGTTTTCTTCCTTGTGTTTTCCATTTGCATTTGAACTTAGTTCCAAAAGGCAAGAGGATTTTGGTACAATTAGCTAATGACTTTGGTTCATTGATTTTCACCTAAAATATGAATATCTGGAAAGCTATGCAAGAATGTTACTTTCTGTTATGCAGCATGTTTTCAGTGATGCCTTCTCTGAAAAAAATTATTTTGCAGGTCTTTCTCATGACCTTGAATAATGCTCCCCCGTCTCTTGAATCTAGAAAAGACAAGAAGTTTTCGAAGGTTCATCTCCCATTTTGTACATTTTGTAAAGCAATGTCCTGATTGGAAAAGCTTTTTTATGATTGACTACTTGCACTAAAAAATATGATTTTTACTTAATAATTAAGATAATATTTGTTTAGTTGATATTTTTTTAATTATGTGATTTTTTTAAAAGTTTCAGGCTATTCATGCAAGATTAGGAGAGGGGGTAGCTCGAGTCTTCTTTTGACGATGATGAGAGATGAAAGAATGTGTCTTCCCCAAACTTGTATTTTAATTTGTTGTAGATAGTTTCATGTATTTTTCTTTAGAACAATTAGGATATTAACTCTTGTTATTAGTATTGAATATTTGAGGATGGTGGAATTTTATTTATTGATGTTATTAATGAATAGAATTTTATTTTCCTTTTTATTCATTATTGGGTATTTTTAATATATTTGTGTTGTGAATCTTAGTGTCAGGTTGAGAATAATATGATAGTTGCCTATGAATGGAAAAAATATTATTAATGTATATTAGAAATTTGTAGTCTACAATGACGGTTTTATAAACCGTATTTTGTTCATCAACGAAGGGAAAGCACCGTCGTTGATGGGTTACTAATTACCCATTATGAGGACTTTTACGACGGTATCCAACCGTCATTAATTAGTCTTCAACGACGGGAAAATATCCCCATAACTAATGATAATGACGGGAAAATATCCCGTCACTGATGGTAATGACGGGAAAAAATCCCGTCACTGATGGTAACGACGGTGATAATTACCGTCGTAAATATTAACGATGGTAATATGTTCCGTCGTTATAGACTCTATAACGACGGGTAGTATATCCCTTCGTGACCCTTTAGTGAAGAGGGCTTCAACAACGGGTGACGAAGGGATTTTTTCCCCGTCGTTAGCATACAATAACGAAGGTTTTCAGCTCTTTAACGAAGGGAAATCCCTTCGTTAAAGATGTAATTTCTTGTAGTGTTTCATGTTTTCATGTTTTGACCAAGTTTTGCGAAACGATGATATTTTACAAATGGGAAGCATAAATTCAAAAATTCATTTTTTAACATCTTTATTATCATGTTTATAAATATTTCCCAAAGTTTTATAATTTTTAGAATTTATTTGCTATTTTAAAGGCACATCAGTTTTTTAGCATGAACAGTGTCTGTGCATGTTTTTAAGTCGACTTATAACACCTGACAAGTTTGTTAGACCCTAATGCCACTAGGAAAGAACCCTAGAGGGGGGGGGGAATAGGGTTTATGCTTAGCTAATCTGATTTAAATACCAATTAAAAACTTATTAACAAATATATCCTAGCAATGAGATACAACAAGAGACATATGCAAGGATATGAAACTAACACAAGGGTGAAATAAAATATAAACAATATAGTGGAAATATAAACAATGAGCAATTGACAAAGATGATATAAGATGAACACAAAAATAAGAGCGCGAATGCAAACTCAAATAAGTGATATGATCACGGAGTTTGGTCCCCACGACCTACTGTAGGCGTATAAAATTGCTTATAGATCCCTTAGCACAGCTCAGCACAAACCGACGAACCAACGAGGCGACGAGGTTAACGAATCGCACGCAAACAACGGAATAGATCCACTCGCGTACGGAATCAAGCTAACGGGTTGAGGAGTCAACGAGTCATCCATCCAAGGGTAGACTCGGACGAATCACGATCGAATCAAGATCAGTTTCGGACTCGAACTCAGAAGTGGATTTACTGCCAAATCAGGAATCGGATTTACTGCCAAATCAGGTCAACGATTCAAGTCGGATAAATCAACCACAGAACCAGATCACGGACTGAACCGAAGACGGAAAACGACGGAAAACCACGCCTATGGGTGGCTCGGCCCAGAGCTGGCCACCTATAGGTGGCCGGCCCAGTTCTGTGCGCGGGCCCAGTTCAGAGAGCCTATAAATAGGCCCCCCTTGGTTCATTTTCAAAGGTTGGAACTTTGAGAGCCGAAACTCTGCCGAATTGAGAATTGAGCTTGGAGTTTTGAAGACTTGAGGACTTGAACATTCAGATCTGGTTCTCGGCGAGCATCCACGTCACAAAAGGTAGGAGTTCGAGAGAGAGAAAGATCAGATCTGAGATCTACACGAGATCATACTCCGGATCAAAGCTTGGCCTTTGATCCCGAGAACTAAGGGCGATTATTTCCTTGGTGAATTAATCCCCCCCGGCTATTATTTCCTTCGCGAAATAATACCCATCAAATCGTGTAGATCCTACCGGATCTAGATCGCGCGGTGGTCCACAGATTAACCCCGGCGTCGGCAAAGAACCCACACAAGCGAACGACCGCAAAACAGGAGCTCGTGATTCGTTCGAAAGGAAAGTTGTAATCTTTTTCTTTTTCTTTGATTTCGTTGTAACCGGATCTAAAAAAGACCAGATCTTTTGTAACCAAAAAGCAATTACTTGAGATAACAATGAATTCAATGAAGGCAATTTTCACCGTGAACAATCTGGCGACCACAGTGGGAGCCACCGATCTCGCTGCCGAGATCGTCACGTCGCAGCCGCGGATCTCAATCCCGGTCGAGGAGGAGGTCGAGTATGAATTCGACCAGGCCAAGTTCGAGGAGTACCTTTCATCCTCGTCTGGATCTACCTCCCCCCGCAAGTCCAAGAAGTTCTCCTCCAGGAGAAAAGCTCGTTGGTTTGAAGAAGTTCAGAACGCCAACGAAGCTCTCACCCCAGCTGATGCCAAAGTCACATCGGGTGAAGTTCCACCGACCTCCAACGAGGTCAAACCTGTTCTCGCCGACGCCTCTACGGTTGAAGGCATTGTGACTCTCTCGAAGAGAGCCCGCTAGAGGCAACGTCAACGCCTTGCGCGGCAACTCGCTAAGGCAATGGAGTCTACAGACGGGGTCCGCTACAACGCGGATCTGAAGAACAGGAGAGGCAAACAGCCTCAACAATTGAAGAATGGCGGCTCCTCTAAGCCGCCGACGAAATTGAAGAAAGAAAGAGTGGCCAAGAAGCCGCCATCAACCCGCCAAGTGTGGAGGCCGAAACAGCCTCCAGCCAAAGTTCAACCTCCGGTGAATCAACCAAAGTCGCCGGTAATCCCAATAGTTTCTCCGGGAGATCATGCAGAATCATCCCGAAGGAAAAAGTCAGTCTTGGAGCGCCTCGGTCCGATTCCCGACGAGAGAGGCAAAGCTCCTGTTCAAGATCGTTTAGGCCCGATGAAGAAGCCCCGGACGACACAACATGCTGGGGGTCGCCGCCACCTCCAACATGACAAAGAGACCAGGGCAGTCATGCGCACCAACTTGCGCATTGAAGTCCAGGAGCCCGCCGAGAACTCACGCCCAAAAAGGCATGCTTCGAGGCGCGTGACTTTCGAAAGCCCAAAGAAGGCAGTTCACCCTCAGAAGGAAACATTACCGTCTGATGACGATAATGTTATACCTGAGAAGTCATGCCAACACACGATAGGTCAAGCAGACGAATTGTACTATCGTGTTGGGGGTACGAGTAAAACCAGGAAGAGGAGTCCCCGAGAACAGGAAACTCAATGCCCCTGTTCCAAACTCATTCGGGCAGTATTGTCTGAGTGCGATTGCATCAAGGCGGTCCCCGAAAGAGTTTCGGTTTTCGAAAGACTTAGTACCGAAACGCCAAAACCAAGGCCTAGGCGTTTCCGACGAAGAAGAACGGTGGTTGAAGATGAAGAATTTCCGAGGGTCACCACGAATATGACCAGCAAAGGGACATCGACACAGGACAATCCCGAGTTGATTCCGGAAGTACCCCAGCGGATGACCCGTCTGCAGTCCGGAACCATCAAGCGAGCAACTTATGGTAGGGTTCGGACAAGACTCCCTTCAGAAGATGAAGAATCTTATGCTGGCTCCGCGGTTGCATCAGATAATACGGTATCCAGCGAGGGACAACCCCGCGAGACACTTATGATAAGTGCGGAGCAAGTGGCCAAAATGCTTGAAGACACCTTAGCTAAGCAATAAGAAACCTTCAGGTTCGAAATGCAGATGGCCATGCAAAACATGAGAGAAATGCATGACCAACAAATCCAAGCATTGACGAACCAGCAAGGTGAGCCAAGTCGTCGTAACCCGGTTAATCTAGAAGATGAGGACACAAATGTGAATGAGACGCATAATACCAATAATCCTCCCGTCAATGCAGGGGGTGGTAATGAGAATGCTAGCGAAAACAGGTGAAAACTTGAAGATTAAAAATCTCGAGAGCAAAATCAATACGTTGATTTCCGCTCAAGAGATGAAGAAAACAGGCATTCCTTGTCCATACCCAAGAGAGTGGGAATCAATCCCATATCCGGCGAAGTTCAACTTAATTAACTTCACGCCGTTTAATGGGATGGGTTCCCCCACTCAACATTTGATTTACTTCAAATCACACCTGGGGGTTATCTCTGGTAATGAGCCTCTGATGGTACGGTCCTTCGTTGGCACTCTTCGTGGAGCCGCTTTCGATTGGTATCGCCGCCTCAAGCCAGGAAGCATAAATAGCTGGGACGACATAGAGACCAAATTCCTCGCCAACTTCTTCAACGACGACACAGAGATATCCATCAGGTCGTTGCTTGATGAGAAACAGAAAGACGGGGAATTGGTTGACACCTTCGTCAAGAGGTTCCGGAACAAGGCGATGAACTGTCGGGACCCGATCACCGAGGAATTCATCCTCCAGACTTGCCACAACAACCTTGCACTGGACGTGTTGGAAGCAATGGGGACAGCACCGTCTAAGACATGGAAGGATCTGAAGGTCCAAGGAGAGCAAGCCGAGCGATTCCTCAGAAGAAAGAAGGCGGAGAGAGGCCAGCAGGCGACAAATGCTCCAGCACAGAATTTCGTCCCACGGGGGAAAGATAAGGCACATGCTAAGGCAGTTGATGCTAATCAAACCTTTCAATTGCAACCTCAGCAACAGCAGCAGCAGCA